CAATTTTGTACATTCAGTAAGGCTTATTTTTTAAAAGAACACTGAAAAAGCACAATTACAAAAAATTCTGAACACACACATGCAAACTATTGTATGGCATCTCTAAATAACACACAAACTCTTTTTTTGCAAAATATGTATTATAATGGGCAATCAGAGGTAAAGAAATACTGCATGATGGCACAGTTGTTAGCACTGTTGCCTCGCAGCACGAAGGTCGCAGGTTCGAAACTCGGCTCGGCTGCGGCCTTTCTGCGTGGAGTTGCGTGTTCTCCCCATGCATGCGTGGGTTTCCTCCGGGTACTCTGGTTTCCTAGCCTAGTGAACTAGACCAAATTCTTGCTTTGCAAAGTATGGTCTAGACACGCTCCATTGTAACCTCCACAGCTCCCACCAGAACACTGGCTGGCCAATCACAACTCTCTTTGGTGGTTGTTGGACCAATCACAGCACTATATGTTGTGGGCCAATCACAGCGCTATATATTGCGGCCCAATCATAGCGCTTTATATTGTGGGCCAATCACAGTACTCTAATCAGCGGTGTAGCGGAAGACGTCAGAACTGCGACCGCGAACCGATGCCGCGAACACAAACAACATGGCAGCAGCTCTGGAACAACATTCGTTTGAAATGGCTTTGTCGGCAACATTGGACGATTTAGACTTGGGCTTTTCTTTAAAACACGAACAGATAGAGGCACTAAAGTCCTTCATTTTTCAAAAGGATGTATTTGCTGCGTTGCCGACGGGATACGGTAAAAGTTTAATTTACCAGCTAGCTCCGGTTGTTGCTAAACGAATGGGACTCAGTGAAAACCCACTTGTGGTTATAGTCTCACCGTTGATCGCCCTTATGGAGGACCAGGTGAAAGAGGCGAGTAAATTAGGACTAACTGCCATGCAACTTGGCGTACACACTTTGAAGGACATTCGAAAAGCCAACTGTCAGTTGATATTTGGTAGTCCAGAAGCCTGGCTCATGCAAAGTAAATGGAGATAAATGTTGTCTACAAAGACCTTCAGAGATAACCTCTTGGGGATCGTTGTGGATGAGGTACATCTGATTTACAAATGGTGAGTAGCAACACATAACCTAGCCTGGCAAGCCATCCAAAAATAATTTTGCTTCAGCAAATGATGGTCTATAATGTAGGCTACATATAACCTACATTTCTAAGCAATTACATTATGTCTGAATGATGACGTTTACAACCAGATGTTAAGTTATATTCACTATAAACTCAGATTTTTGAAATTAAACAAAACCTAATATTTAGAGTTGAATGGTGTTGGAATTAGACTTTACAATTTGCTGACTTTTTGCCCAGGGGAAAAGCTGATAAAGGACACAAGGCCTTCAGAGAGTGTTTTGCAAAGTTGGGTGAACTGAGGTCAATTGTGAGACGGGGTGATTAGGTCAACATTATACAATAAAATCCTATACTGCATCTATATTATTGATTATGTGATGGTGGTATTTAAGTCTCTGCATTTATCCCTTAAAACACACACACACACATACAGCATCCCCTCCTTACTCTGCACCACCATAATGTGTTAGAACTGTCATCCCACTTATGTGTGTGAGAAAATTGGCACTTTGCTCAAAATAAACTCAGATCTTAGCTGACAATATATACATTAATTTCTAACACACAATCCTTAACTTATTAGTAAATGCGTATATGTTCAAAAAAGTGTAGCAATGTATAAACACATTATTCAGATGTTAATGCATTTTCCTTTTCTTTCAGGTACACCCATTTTGGCATTGACGGCTACAGAAGACCTGGATTCCCGAGCCATTATCCAAAAACAGCTACATTTTGAGGATGCTACTCAAGTCACTATTAGCCCCAACCGAAAAAATATTCGGCTTGGGCTTATCAAAGTGTCTTCCCATACTTTTGACTGCCTGGACTGGATTGTGAGAGAACTGAAAGAGCATGACACCAACATGTTTCAAGTAATCATTTACTGTCGAACACTGACAGCTGTTGGAAGGGTGTTCTGTTACCTGAAAGCAGAACTTGGTGAGGACTGTTGGGATGATAAAGATCCACAACGCAGGGCAGAAAATTTAAGAATTGGGATGTTTCATAGTCACACCCTTCCTCAAAACAAACGCAGAATACTGGATTCATTTGGTGGAGATGGTCCCTGCAGAGTTGTTGTGGCAACAAGTGCTCTGGGAATGGGACTAAACTTTCCTAAAATATCTCACGTAGTTATGTATGGTGTACCAGAGGATATGGAGGCCATTCTGCAGGAAGCTGGTAGGGCCAGGAGAGATGGTTCTCTGTCACATGCCGTTATTTACAGACTCAGTCTAAACACTAATGTGGATGAGGGACTTAGAACGCTACTAAAAAATAGCAGCAAAAGTTGCTTTCGAAAGTCACTATTCTCGCAATTTGAAAACAACACTGACAGTGTAGTGCCGGGACATTTGTGCTGCACATACTGCCACTCTGTACAGGTGCTGGCCAGTAAATTAGAATATCATCAAAAGGTTGAAAATATTTCAGTAATTCCATTCAAAACGTGAAACTTGTACATTATATTCATGCAATGCACACAGACCAATGTATTTCCGATGTTTATTACGTTTAATTTTGATATTTATAGGTGACAACCAATGAAAACATCAAATCTGGTATCTCAGAAAATTAGAATATTCTAAAGGCCAATGAAAAAATGTTTGTTTCTCTAATGTTGGCCAACTGAAAAGAATGAACATGAAAAGAATGTGCATGTATAGCACTCAATACTTAGTCGGGGCTCCTTTTGCCTCAATAACTGCAGTAATGCGGCGTGGCATGGACTCGATCAGTCTGTGGCACTGCTCAGGTGTTATGAGAGCCCAGGTTGCTCTGATAGTCGTCTTCAGCTCCTCTGCATTGTTGGGTCTAGCGTATTGCATCCTCCGCTTCACAATACCCCATAGATTTTCTATGGGGTTAAGGTCAGGCGAGTTTGCTGGCCAATCAAGGACAGGGATACCATGGTCCTTGAACCAGGTGCTGGTGGTTTTGGCACTGTGTGCAGGTGCCAAGTCCTGTTGAAAGGTGAAGTCTGCATCCCCATAAAGTTGGTCAGCAGCAGGAAGCATGAAGTGCTCTAAAACTTCCTGGTAGACGGCTGCATTGACCCTGGACCTCAGGAAACAGAGTGGGCCAACACCGGCAGATGACATGGCACCCCACACCATCACTGACGGTGGAAACTTTACACTGGACCTCATGCAACGTGGATTCTGTGCTTCTCCGCTTTTCCTCCAGACTCTGGGTCCTTGATTTCCAAAGGAAATGCAGAACTTGCTTTCATCAGAAAACATAACGTTGGACCACTCAGCATCAGTCCAGTCCTTTTTGTCCTTGGCCCAGGCGAGACGCTTCTTGCGCTGTTTCTTGTTCAAGAGTGGCTTGACACACGGAATGCGACACCTGAATCCCATGTCTTTCATGAGTCTCCTCGTGGTGGTTCTTGAAGCGCTGACTCCAGCTGCAGTCCACTCTTTGTGGATCTCCCCCACATTTTTGAATGGGTTTGTCGTCACAATTCTCTGCAGGGTGCGGTTATCCCTAGAGCTTGTACACTTTTTTCTACCACATTTTTTCCGTCCCTTCGCCTGTCTGTTAATGTGCTTGGACACAGAGCTCTGCGAACAGCCAGCTTCTTTAGCAATCACCTTTTGTGTCTTGCCCTCCTTGTGCAAGGTGTCAATGATTGTCTTTTGGACAGCTGTTAAGTCAGAAGTCTTCCCCATGATTGTGGTGCCTTCAAAACAAGACTGAGGGACCTTTTAAAGGCCTTTGCAGGTGTTTTGAGTAAATCAGCTGATTAGAGTGGCAGCAGGTGTCTTCTATATTCAGCCTTTTCAGAATATTCTAATTTTTTGAGATACCAAATTTGGAGTTTTCATTAGTTGTCACTTATGAATATCAAATTTAAATGTAATGAACATTGGAAATACATTGGTCTGTGTGCATTGCATGAATATAATGTACAAGTTTCACGTTTTGAATGGAATTACTGAAATATTTTCAACCTTTTGATGATATTCTAATTTACTGGCCAGCACCTGTATGTTCATGTACCTCAGCAGGTTGTGACATGGCTGTACCTAAATATGAACAGGCACCACTGGAGGTTTCTGCACCAGGCCAAATCAGAGAGGTTACGGAGGATGAAAAAGATCTGATTCGGAATCTGTTACACACTTACAAGCTCAGCTTGATTCCTGAAACTCATCTGTACACAAACAGCACATATTGTACTGGTTTTAGCGATGAACTAATCAACTCTGTTCTGGAGCACTGCGCAGAGATATTCGACTTGAACTTTATTATGAACAATCTCCCAGTGTTCAGCAAAAGGCATGCCCAAGAAATACTCAGGATATTATTTGAAGTGTTTGAAGATTTTAAATTCACAGAATTAGATTTTCCTCCAGAAGACTTTGTGGTCCCAGACCCAAATTACATGGGTTACTTTGATGAGGACACCGAGGGGAATGTCCTCTCACAGTGTAGCAGTTTAGAATCTGGCCTTTCTGCTTTGAGTACTGACTCTCAAAACAATTAAGTTGTAATTAATGTTTGTTACATAGTTATGCCCTTTAACCAGACCATCAATGGCAAAACATGTTTCATAATGTGTAATAACTGACATTTATGCAGGTTGTTTAACTTTTTTGTGTTAGTGTAAATACTGTTCCTGATTTACTGTTATAACCCCCTACAACATTATTTTACTGTTTTAAACAACTATATTGTTAATGTTTGTCACTGTGTGTCTTTTCAGATGGCTACATGTAAATAAATCTCAAAGTCATTTATTTTCTTTGTGTTTAATTCAACACTAGTAACAAAATGCTGACAAAAACATTTGCTTAAGTAAGTCACGGGACAGGTAATGAAATAGTAAAAAATATATATATACCTACATACACTACACACGCACACACACAGAAAAAGCATTTACAGTGTGTCTACAGACCTTATAGTGTTTCAAAGTGTGTCCTTCATATTTTCCGATTTCTCCACTCCTTCAGTTTTCCGTTCATCCACTGCCAGAGATCTTTATGTTTAATCCGCAGAAGATTTTGATCAAAGCCTGGGAAGGCCTGAAACTGTCTACCATGAATAACTTTAAACAACTGCTCCTCCTTGAAAACCTCTACCAGTGTTAAAACATCAGTTTCTTGCTGTGCAGCACGATGGGTGCCAGTTGGACTTTTGACACCCAACTCTCCATCTACTTTGTCCATCATTCCTCTAAAAACACCAATGCACTGACTGACCCGACGTGCTGCTTCTTCAGACAAATTTGGACCCAGACCCTTCAGGAAAGACTTGAGGAAGTTATTCAGGTGTTCCAGATGAAGATCAAGGGGTATGTTGCAACCCTTCCCACCCCGGGTGCTCCAAAACCTGTTCCAGGTTACCCTGTGTGCCATCTGGGGTGTCAGAGATGCGTTTACCTGCAGCGTCAGTAGAAAGGTACTGTAGGCATAATGGCTGTGACCGTATGCTTTGTAATACAGTAGGGCTACCCTGTACAACCTCATTAGTCTCTCCCCATCACCCTCTTTAACAGCATCCAACATGTCCATGAGAAAGAACCCAAAGCTAAGCCGCGCCAAGGTGTGTTCTTGTTTGTGATCACGGTTGGAAGATGGTGTGTGTTCATGCAGTTCTGTCAAAGACATCTGTATGTGATGCTTTTTAAGCTCATGGTTGTCTCGGGATTTGAGATAGGTGTAACTTTGTTGACAACCGTGAGCTCTACAGGGATAATGTTTCTTATGAGTAGAGCTCAGGGGGGATTCAGTGACACCAGCAACAGCCTGTGGCACATCCCCAAGCATGATGCACTTGTCCACCACCTCAGATGTTCTTTCATGTAACCAGGCTCTCCTTAAGTCAGGTGCAGCAGATTGTATTTCCTCTGGTACAAACGAATCTGGTATTTCTAAATAACACAGGAGAAATCATATGTTCAGTTGCATTTAAAGGATGATCCACAAGCTACACAAAATAGGTAAATATTGTTAGATAACAGCAGTTACCGTCAACATCTTTTAACCCAAAGAGATCCACAGCAGCCGCTAGGAAAAGTGCAGTTGTGTCAGTGGTGAAGAAGTGCTTGTAGGCATTGTAGTCAGCACGGGGACCCTGCTTGGCATTGCTGCACCTGTGACATTCATATTTACTTTTAATACTTCTACTGCACACGGCCATCTTTGTTTCCCACTTAACGCACAGTGGGTATGCACACATGCATGAAAACACACACACACACACACACACACAATATGCTGGTCAATTCATAGACCCAAAACAAGCATGCACGCATGCACACACACGCCCAAAAGTCATAAAGCCATACCAGACTTGTCAATTCATAGACCCGATTTGCAGGGGGTCACTCTATAGTGGAAAGTGGTGCAATTGTTATTGAAACACATTACAAAAGACGATGATTGGAGCAAATGTGTTTCTTTTTGTGCGTTGTCACAACTGTGAAGAGAGTGGTACAAATTTTAAAAAATGTTGAAGTCATTGATAGCCAGCAAAACATGTTTTGCTGGCTGAGTAGGCTATGCTGCTCTAATATAAATATGTCGACATATATTCATAACAGTTGACGTACCTTAACTTTGTCATGTTGGCACACAGCGTGCCATGGTCCTTGCCAGACTTGCCACTGAAGAATACCTTGTAGTGTATCTACGACCAAGGAAAATTAAAAGTCATTAAAGAAATGCTACATTAAAAACAGCACAGAGAAAAAATTGAAAAAACACTTAAACCTCAAAAAGCACTCGAATGGCATGCCAGTCCTCAAACTTGAACACCATGCCTTCAAGACTCTCTTCATTGATGTTTCCATCTGCAAAGGCACACTGTATGTTTCGACAGTTTGCCTCAGTGAGCCTGTCACCTCCCACCAGTATTTTGGACACACCATCAGGGCCTTTTGGAGCATACCTGCAATGTTTACAGAGATAGTAGGTTTACAAACAAATAATAAAATAATCCCAATTTACCCTCCCTGCAGAACATAAATGTAAAAATTAGCTTGTGATTATAGATGTTAAAATATGAACAATTAAAAGTTGTCACTTGTGTATATTGTTTTGTTTTTTACAGTTTCATATAAATCTAAAACATTAAACAAAACTAATAATCACTTTATTAAGCCAGTAAATAAATAATCATGGATTAGCCAAGTGTCTGTACTTATAAACTAACAGCAAAAAAGTTGTTTAACAAGTTTGTTTTATATACACAGTAGTGGGACTATGACATCTGTAACATCTTTTTTGGCCAAAACTCGTAAAAGGCGTAAATTTCTGCAGGAAGGAAGGTTGTGGCCTGCCATAAAAGCTTAGCTAAATAGATTCAGATAGGTGGGATTGCCTCAAACTATAATTTCTGTATTGTCTCTGGTGCTCTTCTGGATCATAACAACTTCAAAAGTAAATGTGGAAGGAAAAGGTGATGATCTGAGGCACACCGATCTTAGCTAAAGAGAATTATATAACTTGAATAGTAACATAAATATAATTTCTGCCGTTACAGTTTCTCAATCTCTACGTTGTTTCTCTGTATGATAACAGCAGGCATTCTTACTGCAATAAGTTTGGGATCTGAAATAGAATAGGGTTGGCACAAATGCATGCACACACAGAAACTCATGTTGCTAACACTCGTACTTACTTGTGCTGAATTTCTTGTAGTACTTCAGACAAGTCAGTGGTTTTGTTTTCATTTTTGAAAATCAATCCCAACGGATGCTGTAATTAAAAATGGGGTCACAAATTAGAAATTTTAATACAGGTTTAATTAGGTGAGCATGCGCTGAGGTGAGCATGCGCTGACGGCCGATCACCGGATACACGGCAGCGTTTGAAGCTGATGGCAGCTCGTTAACAAACATCCACAAACAATTAAGACACATTTTCGCCTAATTTATTTACTGACAACGCAAAAAATAATCTGGTAAGTATAACTCACTCAATCTGGAGGTAAGTGAAGAGAATTCAGAAAGTTTACTAAATTATATTGACGAAGTTTTCGAGTTATTCGTCATGGGTCCGAAGAAATCAGCAGCTGAGGCTGAAACACCTGCTGGGACCAAGAGGAGCCGTCCTCAGGACTCGCCTGAGGCCTCATCTCCCCGGAAAGACGTATTAGAATTATTAGATTCTATAGATAAACGGCTTCTGGGATTTGAGGGGCGACTTCATCTGCTCGAGGTTCTTCACCAGGAGTTTCAGAACCTCCGAACATCTCTGGAGTTCAGCCAGGAACAGGTTGAGCGGCTCGCTGCTGAGAACGCGTCTCTGCGGAAGTCCGTCTCTTCCCTGGAAGAGGGAATGACGCGGATCACCCTGGACAACAAGACTCTGAAGGAGACGGTTTTGGACCTTCAGGCCCGCAGCATGAGGGATAATTTGGTGTTCGCAGGTCTGCCGGAGCAGACGGGAGGGGCGGAGAACTGCGAGCAAACAATAAAGAACTTTCTTCAGACAGAAATAAAGATACCCGAAGAAAAAGTTAAAAACATCACATTTCACCGGGTACATCGCCTTGGAGCTAAAAGAGGAGACAGCAGAAGACCTCGTCCCATCGTGGCTAAATTTGAACATTTTAAGCAAAAGGATCTTGTTAAAAGTCACGGAAGAGAGCTCAAAGGAAAAGATTTCAGCGTGAATGATCAGTTCACGAAGGAGATTCTTGATCGGCGCAGGGTCCTCTTTCCGCTGCGTAAAAAGTTTATCCAGGATGGGAAGAGAGCTGTCATCTCGGTGGATAAGCTTTATGTGGACAATAAACTTTACAAGGAGCGAGGAGTGACTGACTGGCTGTTTTAGCCCAACATCAGGTCAGACATTTATTATTCTTATCAGGATTCACTGGGTTTGATCACGTCAGGATTAAACAGCTGCTAAATCCGTTTTGTAGATGATAAGATCACCTGTTAATCACCACCCCACACCCCTATTACCTTTTCTTTTTAGTTCTTACTTATTTTTTAACCTGTATCTGTACCTTCCCTTCCTTTTTACCTGCTTCTGTACCTTTACACCTGTATGGCACAACCACACAACTTTCCAACACTGCGTCAGACTCGACACACACACGCACATGCACGCACATGCACACGCACGCGCACACACACACGCACACACACACACACATATATATATTAAATTCACAGCACAATATCATAATTTATGCGTCAAATAATACAACCACAAACACTGTTGGATCTTTATTATTATTATTATTTACTTTTTTGTTATTTATTAACATACTATTTATACATTTATATACTTATTCCATCTTATTCACATGAAGGCGTCATATTTTAGCTACTCACACACACATCTATGGGTGCACTAAGGTTTGTCTCATGGAACGTACATGGGGCTGGCTCCATAGAGAAGAGATTAAAAATTTTTGATCAGTTAAAGAGACTGCAAGCAGACGTAATATTGTTACAAGAGACTCATAGATCTGCCACATCCGCAGATGAACTTAAAACACCTGAGTTTCCCAGCATGTTCTCTGCCTGCTATAACTCTAGGCAAAGAGGTGTAGCTATTTTAATACACAAAAACATCAATTTCACAGTATTGGACACAGTTTCTGATCCAGAGGCTAGATTTATAATGTTAAAATTATCTGTACAGAACCAACGCTTATGTATCGTCAGCATATACTGTCCAAATATTGATGACCCTCCATTCTTTCATAATTTTTTCTCTGTACTCTCCGAACACTTGGACTGTCCACTTATACTTGGAGGTGATTTTAATTTTTGGATGAATTCCTTAACAGACTGGCTCAGTACAGCTGGGACTCAGCGCAATTGGCAATCCACTAACATAGTTAAACAGTACATGAGTGATTATGGGCTTTGTGATGCATGGCGATCTCTTCATCCTAACCGTAGAGAGTATACTTTTTTTTTGCACGTCCATCACTCTCATTCACGTTTGGATTATTTTCTAGTCAGCAGCTCATTGTTGGCTGACATTTCAGACACTGAGATACACCCCATAGTTGTCAGCGACCATGCTCCAGTTTCTTTAACTCTGGTAAATAAAAAGACAATCCCACCAAGCAAAAACTGGAGGTTTAATACATCACTGCTTAAAGACGAAGGTTTTATAGAATTTTTTAAAAAGGAGTGGGGTTTATATTTAGAACATAATGACCTGCCTGGAACATCAGCATCTATTCTTTGGGAGGCAGGAAAGGCAGTGATGAGAGGTAAAATAATCTCTTTCTCATCACATAAGAAAAAAACGGAAAACAAACGTATTCAGGAGTTAGAAGAAATCATCAAGTCTTTAGAGGCGTCCACAGAAGAAGAGTTACTGAGCAAATTACGTAAAGCTAAATTAGAACTTCATGGAATTATTGACAAAAAGACACAATTTTTAGCACAAAGACTACGAATAGAAAACTTTGAACATAGTAATAAATCAGGTAAATTCTTAGCTAGCCAATTAAAAATAAATAAAGAGAAAACTACCATATCTGCTATTAAAGACTCAACCGGGAATATAGTTTATGACCCTGAAAGAATAAACAACACCTTCAGAGACTTTTACCAAACGTTGTACTCACCACAGATAAACCCATCAGATAATGAGATCAATGAGTTCCTTGACAGGATAACACTTCCTAAATTATCAGACAGCCAAGTTACAATCCTGGACTCGCCACTAACATCAGCGGAGCTCCAGGAAGCCCTTAAATCCATGACGAATAGGAAAGCTCCAGGTCCAGACGGGTTCCCAGTAGAATTCTACAAAGAATTCTGGATCATTCTGGCTCCAATATTTTTCAGAATGGTGAGGGAAATCGAAGAGAGCAGCAGATTACAGCCAAACATGAATTCAGCCAATATTAGTCTCTTGTTTAAACCAGGCAAAGACCCGGCATTTCCTACCAGCTATCGCCCAATTTCTCTTATTAATGTTGATCTCAAAATAATTTGTAAAGCCCTGGCCAAAAGATTAGAGAAGGTAACCCCCTTCATAATACACCCTGACCAAACTGGTTTCATTAAGGGTAGACAATCACCCACAAATTCACGTAGATTACTTAATTTGATAGATTTCTCTTACAGTAGAAACATAGAAACTAGTATATTATCTCTAGATGCAGAAAAAGCTTTTGATAGAGTTAACTGGAAGTTCTTATTTGCAACTTTACATAAATTTGGTTTTGGGAACTTCTTCATAAACTGGCTACAAACATTATACAGTTCACCAACAGCACGTGTCAGGACGAACGACCAAATGTCAGCTAGCTTCTGTCTTCAGAGGGGGACCAGGCAGGGATGCCCACTCTCCCCCTCACTATTTGCTATCTTTATTGAACCACTAGCAGCAGCAATTAGGCAAACAACAGACATTAAAGAGATAAAGTGTAAGAAAATAGAACATAAGATCAGTCTTCATGCAGATGATGTTTTACTCTTTCTCCAGAATTCTCAATCCTCTCTCTCCCAAGCAATAGAACTGATAAACTCTTTTTCCAGAGTTTCAGATTACTCTATAAACTGGTTAAAATCCACAGTTCTACCAATTAATTTCTCATTTGTCAATTTGCTTAATACACAATTGGAGTCAGGGAATATCACATACCTGGGAATTAATATCTCTCCCAAGTCAGCAGATCTAACCAAACTGAATTAGATCCCACTTTTAAGGAAAGTGGAAGATGATCTTGCAAGATGGAAATCCTTACCAATATCACTCATGGGGAGAGTTGCTACAATTAAAATGATGGTCTTACCCAGAATAAATTA